GAAGCCTCGTATTCAAATCCAACACCGGTTAAACATAGAACATTTGACATCACAGATAGGAATAGACAGTGAGCGGATCTAAAAGGATCTAAAAGGATCCGCTGTTTTTTCGATTGGTCCGTGTTTTAGTGCCACTAGAAATACACAGTAGGTAGAAGAGCAAGAACTTTCCAGGGTTTGTCCAAAACATTATAGAGAAGTTTGAAGAATTAAAATTTCTGAGTAAATATGTACGAGATAAAGCTCTATCCAAGTCCAACACATGTTTTGGAATCTATCCATCCATCCATTTTCTTCCGCTTTATCCGTTGCCGGGTCGCGGGGGCAGCAGTCTAAGCAGAGACGCCCAGACTGTTTTGGAATCTGTAATGAGATTATTGGTCCCTGGCTGTGGACTCATAATGGCTTTATGAGTCCTGGGTCTACAGCCTCAGTCCTGGATCTACAGCCTCAGTCCTGGATCTACAGCCTCAGTCCTGGATCTACAGCCTCAGTCCTGGGTCTACAGCCTCAGTCCTGGATCTACAGCCTCAGTCCTGGATCTACAGCCTCAGTCCTGGATCTACAGCCTCAGTCCTGGATCTACAGCCTCAGTCCTGGATCTACAGCCTCAGTCCTGGATCTACAGCCTCAGTCCTGGATCTACAGCCTCAGTCCTGGATCTACAGCCTCAGTCCTGGGTCTACAGCCTCAGTCCTGGATCTACAGCCTCAGTCCTGGATCTACAGCCTCAGTCCTGGATCTACAGCCTCAGTCCTGGGTCTACAGCCTCAGTCCTGGATCTACAGCCTCAGTCCTGGGTCTACAGCCTCAGTCCTGGATCTACAGCCTCAGTCCTCGATCTACAGCCTCAGTCCTCGATCTACAGCCTGGATATACCTCTTAAACAACATTTTACCAACTGTGCTTTTGGAATGATGTTTGTATGACTAACAAATCCAATTTTTGTACATATTTCGTTCATGTTTCTGAAGTCCGTGCTGCGTCTGTGGCTCTGGGGGCTGTACTGTACTGAACGGCGTGCGGCTGCTGTCTCCTGTTTCAGAGCTGGGTGTGGGAATCTGAGGAATGCTGCGTGACGTCAATCCTGACATTCCCCCTCCCCGAGTCCCAGGACAACAGCTGAGAGGGGACCGGGAGGAGGAGGAGTGGGGGGAAGGGGGAGGAGGAGGGGGAGGGAGTCAAATACAGAGAGAGGCACAGACTACACAGTGCAGACATGTGATTGTTGAAGAACAGGTGAAAATGGGTGAATTAGAAAACCATTTTAATATCCATTTACTTATAGCCTGTCTGCACTTCTAAATCATTTTTGAGGGTCTGGTAACTCTGGCCAAAATTTTCGCATGTATTTGGGGACCGATTATGCCGTTTGAAACCACAAAAGAACAACAAAAAATATCCATGTTGCTTGTTCTGGCCTTTATCTCCATATTCCATCCATCTCTTCCTCAAAACGTTTTGCTTCTGTCACATGTTTTTACAAATGTAGAAGCAGATCCTTGCCTCGATATGGGCGTCTCCACGGTTACGCTCAAACCATTTCAAACTGCTTGGAAACTCAGGCTGAAATGTTTGCATGGATTTGGGGACCTATCACAGAACAGGCAGCGATGGCAAGATGAGGATGACGCACAATTCCACAGATATAACCTGAGTGTGTTATTATAAGTGAGGATTTTTAAACTTTATCTAATCTGCTTGGTAATAAACAAATACAAATCACAAATGATTTTTCTCTAACGGTGTCTGTGGCCTTTAAATATATAGATATAGATATATACATTCATGAGGGTGAGTACAAATGACTGAGTGACATGTACCATTTGGACCTCTGTGAATGACTACTACCATTACTTACGTACTTACTGCTATTTGGCAAAATGTTTTTGGCGACACAGAGAAAAAAATATGAATAAATAATCTGCACCTCAGAATAGGCCGCAGCGTTCAAAGTCCGGGAAAAAAGCTGTGCCTTATAGTCCGGTATTTACAGTATTTGTCTGATAAAAATACACTATGACAACACATAATCTCATCTGATCATAAAAAAGGTTTGGATAATCGAAATTTGTGAACAGTTAAACAAGTAAACTGCAAAAAGTGACAAAAAATTGCTCAAATGTAGCTTGTTGTATCTTAGTTTGAGCACGTTCTGACTGTGTTAAAACAAGATTCTCCAAAGGGACAAAGAAAAATGATGAAAAGATACAAAAGAAATAAACAGATCTTTTTCCCATTTGAGAATCTAGTTTTAACACAGTCTGGATGAACTCAGATTAAGATAAAAAAAAAACACTCGATTCAAGCATTTATTACCTCAATTTGAATCATTTTTTTTACAGTGTCAAAAAACAACTGTTCAAGAGACAATAGGAAGGCAATTATTTTCTGATGGTTTTCAGTTAAAAAAGCAGAGTTTAATGAAAGAAAACAGCTTCAAACTGTTATTGTTTTTACCAGAGGTGTGTCTGCGACATTAGTCACTCTCTATCACAACACACACACACAGAGAGAGACACACACAGACACACACAGAGAGAGAGACACACACAGATACACAGACACAGAGACACATTCACACACAGACACAGATGCACACACACACGCATACACACACACAGAGAGAGACACAGAGACAGACACAATAACACAAACGCACACGCATACATACACACACAGACACAGACATACAGACACACACTCACACACAGACACACACACATAGACACACACGCACACAAAGATACACACACACAGAGACGAACACACACACACAAACAGACACACACACATAGACACACACACAGACACACATGCACACACACAGACACACACACACACACACGCAGAGACACACACACAGACACACAGACACACACACACACTCCTTTTAGAGTTATCCAACGTAAGCACCAGCTCTGGACACTGTCAAAGTCACCTCAGGGGTAAGAAGGAGGAGGAGGGGGGAGGGAGGAGGGGGAGACGAGGGGGAACAGCTGAGCGGGACAGCACCAGAGGAGGGGGGAGGAGGGGGTGAGGGAGGTGTCACAGGAAAAGGATCAAAATCATGGTCCCTGGTCCCGTGGTCGCTTGACATGTTTTGTGATGAGGTTATTGTTGGTGTGTGATGAGGCCCAATGCAAAGGCCTTTCATTTTCCCATTGGACTTTGGAAAAAACATGATATGAAGATAAATGAACAATAACTTTAAACTAAATAGAATAACACAAAATAAAATCTCTAGCTTTAGCAAAATGAAGAAGCAAGAATGAAGTCCAAAATGTCTGATTTAAGCATAAAAAAGGATGAAATAAAATACTGTATATTCTAGTGCAAGACATGTATATTTGTATGACATATAAAAATACAGTACATACATTAATATATTAAAGCTGGAGTAGGTCAAATTCTTTTAGTATCTTATTCTACAGAAACAGTAAAGTAACATCTTGACTTTTTTCTACTTAATTCTTAATACTAAAATGTTATTACTCCCTACGGTGGATCAACTTCTCTGGGATCCCGGCTGTGACTTTAAAAAACGTATTCTGAAAATCCCATGTTTGTTTTTGACGTTTATACTTAGACCCGTTCCTGTCTACTCCTGTGATGTGTGGAGAAGCTGACACGGGTCCAAAAACACGCCGACCTTTCCCTCTGTTGTCCCAGGTCACATGACGCGACTCTGCGGCATGAAAATGACTTAAGGCAGCTGCGGCGCTCAGCTGTTCTGTCAACAGGTGTGCCCCCCCCTAACTCCCTCCTCCTCCCTCCTCCCTCCTCCCTCCCCCCTCCTCCTTCCTCCCCCCCTCCTCCCTCCTAATCATGTGGGGAGCACATGTGACGGACGCTAAATATCACTATAACTGAGCGTCATCTGTTACATTGTGTCTCACTCTCTGGTCTCTCTCTGGTCTTTCTCTAGTTTCACTCTGGTTTATCTCTAATCTCACTCTGGTCTCTCAATAGTCTCACTCTGGTCTCTCTAGTCTCACTCTGGTCTCTCTAGTCTCACTCTGGTCTCTCTAGTCTCACTCTGGTCTCTCTGTCTGGTCTCTCTCTTCTGGTCTCTCTCTTGTCTCTCTCTGGTCTTCCTCTGGTCTCTCTTTGGTCTCTTTCTGGTCTCACTTTGGTCTCTCTCTAGTCTCACTCTGGTCTTTTTCTGGTCTCTCTTAGGTTTCTATCTAGTATCACTCTCTGGTCTCTCTCTAGTTTCACTCTGGTTTATCTCTGGTCTCTCTTAGGTCTCTCTCTAGTCTCTCTCTAGTCTCACTCTAGTCTCACTCTAGTCTCACTCTAGTCTCACTCTAGTCTCACTCTAGTCTCACTCTAGTCTCACTCTATTCTCACTCTATTCTCACTCTAGTCTCACTCTAGTCTCACTCTGGTCTTTCTCTGGTCTCTCTCTTTCTGAGCTCTAGTATCTATCTCTGGTCTGTTTCTGGTCTTTCTCTCTGGTCTCTCTCTAGTCTCACTCTGGTTTTTCTCTGGTCTCTCTATGATCTCTCTCTAGTCTCTTCCTCTGAGCTCTCTCTGGTCATTCTCTCTCTCTCTAATCTCTCTTTTTTCTCTGGTCTCTCTATGATCTCTCTCTAGTCTCTTCCTCTGATCTCTCTCTGGTCATTCTCTCTCTCTCTAATCTCTCTCTTTCTGAGCTCTAGCATCTATCCCTAGTCTCTCACTAGTCTTTCTCTGGTCCCTCTCTCTAGTCTCTCACTAGTCTCTCTCTGGTCCCTCTCTCTAGTCTCTCACTAGTCTCTCTCTGGTCCCTCTCTCTAGTCTCTCTCTGGTCTCTCTCAGGACAAAGGACACACATTCTACCCACTGATCTGCTGCTGCCCCTTGTGTTGAAAGTTAGCACTACAGACAAGAATCCCATCCAGACGTTGACCCACCTCTCGGTCTACTACCACTCACCACTCTCTTTGTCAACAACTCCTCATTCAAACTAGATTCATAATAGATTCATTTAAAAGTAAAAAATAATAGTTACTCACGGACGGGGCTCGGGCACGCTCCGTTCGAGTTCCCCAGGTCGCCGCCCAACATTGCACCTGAAACATAAAAAACGCCAAAAGTCAAAAATCTCGTTGTTCTCGTGTTAGTCCAGTGCCTCGAAGCGTCTAATTAAGTATTTGAGCGTGTGCTGAAGGCGCCCCCTGGAGGAGAAAGGAGGTGACACAGGTTTGCATGTTTTTATTTTGCTGTTTTAGTTTTCCTTAACCGTGGGAACCGGGAAGAGCGGGGTCTTGATATAGCAGGCCGTTGTAAATGCCTGGTGTAAATGGCAAACACTGAACTCTCACTCTCTGTTCTCTCTCTTTGGTCTCTTTCTGGTCTAACTCTCTGTTCTCTCTCTGACCTCCTCTCTGGTCTTTCTGTTTTTTTCTGGTCTCTCTGTGGTCTTTTGCAAGTCTCTGCCTCTCTTCTATCTCCGTTTTCTCTCTGGTCTCTCTCAGTTTTCTCTCTTGTTTCTTTAGGGTCTTTCTCTGGTCTCTTTCTCGTCTCTCTCTGTCTTTCTGGTCTCGCGCAGGTTTTTCTCTTGCCTCTCTCTCTCTGGTCTCTCTTTGGTCTCTCTCGTGTCTCTTTCTGGTCTCTCTCTGTTTTCTTTCTGGTCTCTATCTTGTCTCTATCTTGTCCCTTTCTGATCTTTCTCTAGTCTCTCTCTCCAGTCTGTCTCTGCCTTTCTGGTCTATCTCAGGTTTTTCTCTCTCGCTTTCTCTTTTCTCTCTCTGGTCTCTCTCTGTTTTCTCTCTTGTCTCTTTCTGGCCTTTCTCTAGTTTATCTCTCTGGTGTCTCTAGTCTCTCTCTTTCTCTTTCTGGCCTTTCAGGGTTTTCTCTATTCTCTCTCTTTCTGGTCTCTCTCTCTGGTCTCTCTACTTTCGAACCGCCTTCTATCTAATGCTTTGAATAAAACAGTGCCTCCAAACCCCTGAAGTAAGCGTCAGACTCTCCAGTCCCAGCTCTCCAGTCCCAGCTCTCTAGTCCCTGCTCTCTAGTCCCTGCTCTCTAGTCCCTGCTCTCTAGTCCCTGCTCTCTAGTCCCTGCTCTCCAGTCCCTGCTCCAGTCCCAGGCTCTCCAGTCCCTGCTCTCCACTCCCAGGCTCTCTAGTCCCTGCTCTCCAGTCCCAGCTCTCCAGTCCCAGCTCCAGTCCCAGCTCCAGTCCCAGCTCTCCAGTCCCTGCTCTCCAGTCCCATCCCAGCTCTCCAGCCCCTGCTCTCCAGACCCAGCTCTCCAGCCCCAGCTCTCCAGTCCCAGCTCCAGTCCCAGGCTCTCCAGTCCCAGGCTCTCCAGTCCTAGCTCTCCAGCCCCAGCTCTCCAGTCCCAGCTCCAGTCCCAGCTCCAGTCCCAGCTCTCCAGTCCCTGCTCTCCAGACCCAGCTCTCCAGCCCCAGCTCCAGTCCCAGCTCCAGTCCCAGCTCTCCAGTCCCAGCTCTCCAGTCCCTGCTCTCCAGACCCAGCTCTCCAGTCCCAGCTCCAGTCCCAGCTCCAGTCCCAGCTCTCCAGTCCCAGCTCTCTAGTCCCAGCTCTCCAGTCCCAGCTCTCCAGTCCCAGGCTCTCCAGTCCCTGCTCTCCAGTCCCTGCTCTCCAGTCCCTGCTCTCTAGTCCCTGCTCTCTAGTCCCTGCTCTCCAGTCCCTGCTCCAGTCCCAGGCTCTCCAGTCCCTGCTCTCCACTCCCAGGCTCTCTAGTCCCTGCTCTCCAGACCCAGCTCTCCAGTCCCAGCTCTCCAGACCCAGCTCTCCAGTCCCAGCTCTCCAGCCCCAGCTCCAGTCCCAGCTCTCCAGTCCCAGCTCCAGTCCCAGCTCCAGTCCCAGCTCTCCAGTCCCTGGCTCTCCAGTCCCAGCTCTCTAGTCCCAGCTCTCCAGTCCCAGCTCTCCAGTCCCAGGCTCTCCAGTCCCTGCTCTCCAGTCCCTGCTCTCCAGTCCCTGCTCTCCAGTCCCTGCTCCAGTCCCAGCTCCAGCCCCAGCTCTCCAGCCCCAGCTCTCCAGTCCCTGCTCCAGTCCCAGCTCTCCAGTCCCTGCTCCAGTCCCAGTTCTCCAGTCCCTGAGATCCTCTTTGAGCCTCATTATGGATCTGCGACTGTCGTTGACTCTCACTCCACTTTGTAAAGAGCCGAAACACCATCCAGACGCAGCGGCACTTTAAAAAGGTGCATTAATACGTACTCCAGTTAATGACACGGCTTTTAATTAATCCGAGAGCAGAAGGTGAACAACTTTTCACGATTCAGATTCAAGTGACGCTAAAACACCGGAGAGTAAACAAAGACTGTTTCTGTTTCGGATCATTTACTTTGAACTGTTTATAAATGATTCAATGTTTTGAGAATTTGACAATCAGCAGCTAACAAAAAGAAACAAGAGCTTCATTTGTAAAAACAGATGTCTCAAAAAAAGTTGTGTTTTTCCAGCTGCTATCTCCAATATTTTTGTTATTGACAGTAAATTAGAAAAGAAAATGCTCAAGAAGGAGTAAAAATGTATTTGTTTGGTACTAACTCATATACAGTATGTGGTTTGTCTGCTGCCTCTTTCTGGTCTCTCTCTCTCTGGTCCCTCTCTTTGGTCTCTCTCTGGTCTCTCTCTGGTCTCTCTCTGGTCTCTCTCTGGTCTCTCTCTGGTCTCTCTCTGCTCTCTCTCTGCTCTCTCTCTCTGCTCTCTCTCTCTGGTCTCTCTCTCTGGTCTCTCTCTCTGGTCTCTCTCTGCTCTCTCTCTCTGGTCTCTCTCTGGTCTCTCTCTGGTCTCTCTCTGGTCTCTCTCTCTGGTCTCTTTCTCTGGTCTCTCTCTCTGGTCTCTCTCTCTGGTCTCTCTCTGGTCCCTCTCTGGTCTCTCTCTCTGGTCTCTCTCTCTGGTCTTTCTCTGGTCTCTCTCTGGTCTCTCTGGTCTTCTCTGGTCTCTCTCTGGTCTCTCTCTGGTCTCTCTCTCTGGTCTCTCTCTGGTCTCTCTCTGGTCTCTCTCTCTGGTCTCTCTCTGGTCTCTCTCTGGTCTCTCTCTGGTCTCTCTCTCTGGTCTCTCTCTCTGGTCTCTCTCTCTGGTCTCTCTCTCTGGTCTCTCTCTCTGGTCTCTCTCTCTGGTCTCTCTCTGGTCCCTCTCTGGTCTCTCTCTCTGGTCTTTCTCTTGACTAATGACTATTCAAATACTCGTTCAAATGCAATTAAGAATAGTAAAGTTATGATCATTTAATATTGATCAATAAATCACAGTCCCTGTGCTGTTTGTTCTGCCTCTGACACCACAGAAAGGTTCTTCGTCTCAGTTCAAGGCAAAGGTGTTTCTGCTGCGAGATTATTTCAACTTCTGTTACGTAACAACTGGGACTTTAACATATTGTGTCCCCAGGACACACAACAGAACCGACAACTTTGTAAAGTCCTCCAAGATTTAGGGCTATGCACAAATACATTGAATTGAATTGACAAAGTAAGAGTAAAAGCAAAGAAGTTAGAGACTGAAGTATAGGCCACACTCTAGAAGCAATAACATACAGTACATATATATTGTAAATTAGCGTCATATGGTAAGACCAGGATAGAGTCATATGGGCATAAATAGACAATAATAATGATAAATATAATTTTAAAGCTCTTTGGGTGACCGTGGTCTGTAAAAATGTGCTCTCTGAGTAAAGATGACTCACTTACCAACACATAAAGTAGTACACAGAGTGACAACAGATATATAATAAAACTAGGCATGTATGCACCGAGTCTGCGACGTCTGAGATCTTCCACTTCATGTCCACGGTTATGAACAAAGCATAACATATCTATTGGTGCCGTGGCAGAAGCGAAAGAGAACTGTCTGTTTTTTTCTTGGGTAAAAACCTCCAGTCGTGCCACTTTTACTGTGTAACAACAACAAAACATGACGCACAATCCCAGACGGCCGCACACTTTGTAAACTTTGTGTATCTTTAGTCTCTTTGTACTTGTATATCATGGACTTTTCTATAGTTTCTTGTTTTAACTGTTTGTGTGTTTGAATCTAATGTAACACAAGACCTCAGCATCTTTCATCATTTTCTTCAGTTCCATATCAACAAAAAGACTGTTTCTGTTTCGGTTCATTTACTTTGAACTGTTTATAAATGATTCAATGTTTCTAAAATTCGACAATCAGCAGCTAACAAAAATAAATAAAAGGTTCATTTGCAAAAACAGATGTCTCAGTTTTGAAAATTTGTCTAAAAAAGTTGGGTTTCTCCAGCTGCTATATCCAATATTGTTGCTCAAGAAGGAGTAAAAATGTATTTGATTGGTACTAACACATAGATCTGGCTTGTCTGTTGCCTCTCTCTGGTCTCTCTCTCTTTGGTCTTTTTCTCTGGTCTCTACGTCTCTGGTCTCTCTCTTTAGTCTTCAGTTTCATATCAATATGGCACGGTTTCTGAGTGTAGTTTGCATGATCTCTCTGTGTCCGCCTAGCTTTCCTCCAGTACAGCAGTTATAAAATCCTCCAGCTCAGAGCCTCAGCTTCTGGAGGTGGGTCCTGGTACTACAACGACCGCCACAGAGGCCCGAGTACAGAAACTTTTTAGTAAGAGAACCAGAGAACCAGTTTAGTTCACTAGATTAGTCCAGGGCGGACGACGACTCGGAAGCGTGACCCTCAACCCACTGGTGCATCAAAGCCCCCAACCAACGCCATCCCTGCACTCTCTTTCATTCAGACCTATTGTATATCTCAGTGTCTCCCAAAGTGGGGTCCGCGGCCCCCTGGTGGGCCGCGAGGGTACTGCAGGGGGGCCGCGGGAGGTCATAAAAAAAAAATATATATATATATATAATTATTTAATGTTAAATTTATAATGTTTTGTTTGTGATATTAAAATATTTGTGTTCATTATTTGACTTGAATAATCCACTGTAATCATTTTTGTATTACAATGTTTGTAGCAGAGGCTATTTCCCCAAAATAAAATAACCAGAACAGCCTATTCTTAATATTGTCTTCTTGGTTATTATTTTGGGGGGCCACGCAGACCCGTCAGATTTTTAAGGGGGCCTCGGTGTTACTGAGTTTGGGAATGGCTGGTATATCTTTTTTGGGGTAGGGGAAAACGGAGCACCTGGAGGAAACCTTCTAGACACAGGGACAAAATGTAAACTCCGCTCAAAAAGGCCCTGTTCCGACCAAGATTCAAACCCAGGAGCTACTTGCTGAGAAGCGAAAAGCTATCCACTCCGTATATGATGGCTAAATTAGTTGAGCTGAAGCTGGCTGGATGACACTGTGAGCTTGTGTTTATAATCTCAGAGACTTCTTTGTTTTAGCAAGTCAAAATGAAAAAAGAGGGCCGCATTTGGCTCGCGGGCCTAAGTTTGGACACGTCTGCCCTAGTGACATTGTGGAAGAATCGGTCAATAATACAACACTACCACCATTCCCCATGTTACATACTCTATTCTACCTCTGACATTTTGGCACCTAGCACACAAAAACATGGGGAGAAAGTAAAAAATCTAGGCCTTTAATAAGCGCGATATGAAGTTACCGTCTGTGTGGCACCGGAGAATAAAACCTGGAATGAAAGAAGGCCCGGATTATGACTAGAAAGCAGTTTTACCTCGGAGAGACGCTTGTTATGAAACACACCGTCAAGCATTTGTGGCGGGTTACATCACTCGATTTGGACCGACAATGAGATTAGGCTTCTCGGAACACAGCTTGATAACCAACCTTGTCTGCGACGCATACAAAAAAATGGGACAGTAATCCTTTTATGGTGGGAGAGTGAAGGATTGTTGCGCGGCTACAGACAAAGTAATGAGCATTTTTGTCTCTTTTTCTGGGCATCATGTGGCATTGTGCGTCGAGGAGAAATGTCAAAACGCGGGGAAACTGCGGGGAGAGAAAACAAAGTCTGCGCGGCTGTAATCACACCTTTGCGTCTGTGTCTTTGCAAGGGTCTGGGAACAAGAAGAAGAAGAAGAAGAAAAAAACCCCAGGGTGGCCATGACAACCGTGCTTGCAAATTAAGTTATATCTCGGAGAGGTAATCAACGCGCGGCTTTTTTGCAAATGACTCGACGGACGCCGGGTGAAGGCGGAGGGCGTAATGGTTATCGCAGAACGTGGGGAAATGAAGAAAGATTGTTTTGCTGGAAAAAGTTAATTAGGTTTCAAGTTATGCGGTTTTTAAACGATGGAAAAGTCACAAAGCCGCGTACGAACAGGTGGAAGGTAGTTATGAAGATAATGTACAACTTCAAGGGCCGTTCGAATGCTATCTACTATTATTCAGTCTTTCCACTACAGACATGTGCCTCTGCTTATCTGTGTCTGCTTTACCTGTAGATTTTTGTCAGCTCGTGCAGCAACCCGCCTCCTCCCCATTACCGTCTAAACAGCGGACCATCACTCTTAATAATGCATTGGCTTCATATAGTGCTTATTTTAGACACTCACATGTCATTTTTCCTTCACTCCACACTACTGTAGCCACAACTGCCCTGGGGCACACAGACAGAAGCAAGACAACCAGTGCCATCGGACCCACCCACCACCACCACCACCACCAACCATTCACAAACACACCAGACTCATTCTAAAGTGTCTTGTCTAAGGACACAACAACAGTTTGTCACTTTACAACTGCAGCCGCCCCACCTGCTGTTCCCATAGGTCTCCCATCACAGCACTAACCAGTCCATGTCCTGCTTAGCTTCAGAGGTATGTGAACTGTTTGATTCTCTGATCTGTTTTGTGGCGAATCGACAGCTTTGTAACTTTCTCAGAGATAGCTACTGTTGTGATTTAGAGCTAGACCAGTGTCTCCCAAAGTGGGGTCCGCGGCCCCCTGGTGGGCCGCGAGGGTACTGCAGGGGGGCCGCGGGAGGTCATAAAAAAAATAATAATAATAATATAATTATTTAATGTTAAAATTATAATGTTTTGTTTGTAATATTAAAATATTTGTGTTCATTATTTGACTTGAATAATCCACTGTAATCATTTTTGTATTACAATGTTTGTAGCAGAGGCTATTTCCCCAAAATAAAATAACCAGAAGAGCCTATTCTTAATCTTGTCTTCTTGGTTATTATTTTGGGGGGCCACGCAGACCCGTCAGATTTTTAAGGGGGCCTCGGTGTTACTGAGTTTGGGAATGGCTGAGCTAGACAATTAAAAAAAAATTGAATTGAGGTTCTACAACTGAAATGGAGATAGGGAGGAGGTGGATTGCTGCACAAGCTGAAAGTGTGAGCAGCGGAATATGAAGTGAATGTGTGTTCAAATGCTGCAGGTGAAGCAAATACTGAGAAGTGGGCATGGATCTTTTGCTAATTCTTTCACTTTGGTCACAAAATGAAGCACAGGAATCTAGTATCTGACTTTTATAAGTCACAAACTAGGAATTTGCTTTGGCTTCAGTATAAAAAAAATCTTCATAGAATTTCTTAACTTTACGACTATATCCAGGTGCACACAAGTAAATACACACATCAGACATTAATCAGAGCTCTAAACCCAAAACCCGCCCGTGCTGGGTCGTACCTGCGCTCGCCGGCCGCTGTGGAAGCCCGGGGGACACGGCGTTCCTCTGCAGGGATGGTTGCTGTGGCGACAGGAGGCGGGGGTCTGTGAGGGCGGAGCTTATGAAGGAGGTGGTGGTGACCAGGGGGTTGTTGCTGTTGAACTGCAGGCCCTGGTTGGACACGGGGACGGTCACTGGCATCGAGAAGGTGGGCTGCGGCACGCCAGACTGAGGGACACAGGGACCAGAGACACAGGGACAGGGTTAGCACAGGTACATGTGTGGTGTTATGCATGTAACATTCATGTGTATATGTATAAATGTGTATCTATGTATGTATGTGTAATATGTAAGTAAATGCAACAGGTATGTGTATATAAGTCTGTGTTATATGTAAGTGTATATATATCTATGTATGGGTATTTAACATATATGTGTATGTGTCTATGTTTGTGTACTATGTAAGTATATGTAACATGTATATCTATGTGTATGTGTATATGTGCAGTTGTTACATGTATGAGTATATAATGTATGTGTTACATGTATACAGTATATAGTAGTATATGGTATATATGTAGCATGGGTGACAGAGTACAGAGAGAAGCACTGTAGACAGGTTAGTGAGCCGCAGAGGAAGCCATTCAAGCTGTTTCACATTAAAGATTGACCCTTATCATAGACCTGGAGTTGTTTTTAGACCCATCCATGCTGGAACTTCTGGCACAAACATGTAACATTTCTTGTATTTGGACCGTTTGATTCTCTGATCTGTATTTGATTCTCTGACCTGTGTTTGATTCTCTGATCTGTATTTGATTCTCTGATCTGTGTTTGATTAAGGGCAATACAAGAATACATCCACTTGCGTTGACTTAAATACCTGTTTTAGTAAAACGTTTGCAACATTTTGAGTTTGGACCAAAGTTCTGCAAACTGAAGAATCAGCCGTCGATGGATTTTTATGAAAACTATGAGAGCTGGCACACATCACACACACACTTCTTCCTCCTCTCCCATTACACAGCGGCTTAGACCTCTCCATCCACCTGCAGGAGCGTCTTATTACATCAGCTCTGAGGTGACATTTCTCACATTATCAACTTCCAAATATTGCTTGCACTTGCCTTTTCGTAACACCTAAAATTGCCAAGCGTTCAGAACTTGTCAGAGGTCACTCCCGGACGTCGGAGAGGGAGCTATAGTGGAGGAATCTTAAGAGCAAGGACTTGGGGTTGTCCAGTGATCTCGCCGCGGTCGACCCACTTCACCCTGTTCCAGCTCAATCAAAAAGAAGGAGCTCTATATTTAGGATGTGGGCCAGTGTCTGTGCTCGCAGCCAGGGACCCAGTTCCACTGCGGAGGACAAGGGCACCTTCCTGTCCCCGATCCACCAGCCTCCCACCAGAACACTGTTTTTGGGTGTAGGACAAAGAAGCACATGTCTGACGTGTACGAGAAAAAGAGTTTTAGTAGAATTGGATAAATCTCTAGTACACAGAAAACTAACTGGGAATGGGCTTAAATACACACTATGTACTTTTGAATGTGCTGGAAACAGCTGCAAGTCCTAAGTAGCTCTGAAACAGTTGTGTTGTGCTTTACAATGTTTGTTATTCTTGCTTTTTTCTGCCTGAGATGTTGCTGCAGTACAGTGTTCATGGTTTTGCACTGGTCCAGACCAGAGCAGAGAGGATTCATGGTTTTACACTGGTCCAGACCTGAGCAGAGAGGATTCATGGTTTTACACTGGTCCAGACCAGAGCAGAGAGGATTCATGGTCCGAACCAAGCGGATCAGGTGAAAATCCACTGGAGGAATGCTAACTTTTAGAAAAATGCTAATGAAGCATTTAGCATTTTACTTTGGACCAGAGCGGAGAAAATGGTCCATACCAAGTGGCTACTCCACCCTGTGACCCGTCCTGCTCCACCCAGAGGCTGCTCCACCCAGAGGCTACTCCACCTCTGCTGCTGTGACCCGTCCTGCTCCACCCAGAGACTACTCCACCTCTGCTGCTGTGACCTGTCCTGCTCCATCCAGAGACTACTCCACCTGCTGTGACCCGTCCTGCTCCACCCAGAGGCTACTCCACCTCTGCTGCTGTGACCTGTCCTGCTCCACCCAGAGGCTACTCCACCTCTGCTGCTGTGACCTGTCCTGCTCCACCCAGAGGCTACTCCACCTCTGCTGCTGTGACCTGTCCTGCTCCACCCAGAGGCTACTCCACCTCTGCTGCTGTGACCTGTCCTGCTCCACCCAGAGGCTACTCCACCTCTGCTGCTGTGACCCGTCCTGCTCCACCCAGAGGCTACTCCACCTCTGCTGCTGTGACCCGTCCTGCTCCACCCAGAGACTACTCCACCTCTGCTGCTGTGACCTGATGGGCTGTTGCTGATCAAATTCCTTTTTTATTTTTGCTGACACTGGACACCTGAATTTCTCCTACGAGGATCAATAAACTATCTATCTACAATATGTGTAAAGGAAAAACCTGCAAACTGAAGTCCAGATGATGGGTGAGCAACATTACTTTGTTTTGAAATGTCCCTGTACGACTTAGAGCTTTCACAAACTAAATGTTTTGAGGAGCACAGGGACCGGCCTTCTGTTGGGACTCTGAGGAGCACAGGGACTGGCCTCCTGCTGGGACTCTGAGGAGCACAGGGACTGGCCTCCTGCTGGGACTCTGAGGAGCACAGGGACTGGCCTCCTGCTGGTCCCAGAGTCAAGCCTAAACAAGGCAGTGTTTCAGATTCAGCAAGAGCAGTCTTCCTGAAAATGTGAGACAGGCTTCTTCTCAGACAAATCCAGGTTGGAAACAGTTCTGTTTAGCTGCAACAACTGAAGGATTGTATCGTCGTTGTTTCTGTCTTGCTGGTTTAGCCCTTTGACTTCCCTTGTGTATGAACTGAGCTAGAGCCGACAACATTTGTGAGATTTCATGTAGCTCATAATTGGAACATCAGAGCCCTAGTTTTACAACGATTCTAAACTTTTGAATGTTAATTTCATGTCCCAATTAACCTGGAAAACCCTTTGCCATTCTCCAGTTATTGTAATGAAGAATAATTTTCTCCGTTGGACACGACATTGCCAGGTGTTGCTAGGAGATGGCTGACATAACCTCCTCTCGCACAGAACTATTAAATCTGTCCTAAAAATCTCCGGTCGAGCAATAATCCAAACGATGAGCAGCGTAACGGTAATAACGCAGATATAGGTTGAAATGGTTTTTATATTCTGCAGGTGCATAATGGACTTAAAGGAGGTTGGAAAGGGAAGTAACCCATTTTCTCTCACTCAAGTGCACTCATCAAGGGTGTGTTCCTGGATGTAAAGGGTGAATCAGAATGAATTAAAACCATGGCCTACTTTTCCTCCTTCCCGTCCTGAAAACCATAAAATCAGGAGTCGAGCGGTGGTTTAGAAGCAGTCAAGTGGGTTTGTGGACGGGAAATGGTGGGTAAAATAGCAGGATTTCTCAGGACTACTTAGAATAGGTTAGAAATTGAAATGGGGAGCAAAAATAAGGCCAAAAACTTGAATTAAATCTAAGCCATCTGGCGGAAAGTTAATCTGAAATCTCTCCAATGTGGGACTAGAAAAGGCCTTCATTCAAATCCATATCAGTAGACAACATTAAGTGAACCGCAATATCAGGATTCTAGCGGTGGTTTAGAAGCAGTCAAGTGGGTTCGTGGACGAGAAATGGTGAATAAATAACAGGATTTCTTATGTATAGACTATGGATTGGAATGAGGAGCGAACATAAGACCAACAACTAAACTTGTATCAATGGTATCTGGTAGAAAGTTAGTCTGAGATCTCCCCAATGTTGGACAAATAAAGGCCTTCATACAACTTAGCTGCTCTATGTAACGTACACAATTTTGACAGAAAGTTGCCTCTACATAGAGTAACCTCCTCAAACTCTCAGTCTCCTTTGTCTCGGCGTTGTTGAGATTGGAGATAATTGAAAGCCGGGCCTCTGACAGCGGAGCGAGCCGTGAGTCTTCTTCAGTTTCACTAACAGGGGCCTCATTGATTGCACTGGTGTTGGATCACGGATCGCAGTCGATGGTGGAGGCAGCAGCGCCGTTTATTCTGCTCCAAGTTCAACCGAAGACGCGTTGCTTCTAATATTTCAGGAATGGAACTCAACGACGCGCGGGTTTGAGTTTGAGGGAATGTGATCTGGGAAGTTTAGACGGAGACGGGTGATGGATGAAAGCTGGGGAGTATGAAATGATAATTCAAGACAAATTGAGGAATTTTTCTAGCTCTAATTGAATACATACATTTCATTTATGTTAATCTAATTTATTTGTCCATTTCTGGGTCTGGGGACTGGCCAACCAACTCTCATAGCAGCAGCAGCAGCTTTGGTCTTTCAGTAGGCCGGACTTATGGCAAAGTGGGGTTAAGTGTCTTGCCCAGGGACACAACAACAACAACAGACATGAGTTGTATGGAGATGAAACCCAAAACCACTATGTTCAAAGACCAATCAGTCCCCCACCATATTTAAAGGACCATGGACCCAAATAGTTGTTGTTTTGCCCTGAATCTGCCCTGAAAGTTAGTAAGAGATAGAGGACTGCTAAAATAATATGTATTAATTTTTTTTTTTTTTATCATTTGAAGAAAAATATGTGAGAAAAAGGGGAAATGTTTGTTGCAAGATGGAGCTGTAGTATGATGTTAAGTAGAATAGTTAGTCCAATGGCAGGATTTTAATACATTTTGTCCAATCGGGAAAGTGGGAGTTAGAACCATAGACTCAGGAGTGGGCCGACCGAGAGCTGACGTCACCATAGAGCTAGCCTTAGTGTGGTAGATGCTAATTTCATGATAAGCTAGCTGGAGCCAATTTCCTTATCCTCTAGCTTAGGAAGATCCATCTTGTCTTCTTAGTAGAATAACTAAAAAGTATTGGGTTCTTCTATAAGATAAAAACCTCACAAAACCTTACAGTGTCTGGTATAGAAGAACACAATACTTTTATATCCATATGCCCTGCTGATTGGTCAATCCTCATATGGCTCGTATCTGGGTTTACAAAGACAATATCACCATTTATAACACGGCTCCTCACAGCAGCAGAAGAACGCTCCATTGATTTGAATGTAATTCCAAATGACCGCTGCCCTTTGGCAACGCACCCTCTGCTTGTAATTCAGATGTGTAGATTACTCCGCAAGTAGTTCCCGCCACTCCGGAGCTAG